TTTTTTCTTTTATTTTTTTCTTTTTCCGTGTGTGTGTTCTCTCTTTGTTTCAGGTTTTCACTTTCAGAGCTGTTAAAACAGTTAGGTACCAATTAAACCTAGTTTAGGCAAGGGGCTATATGGACTAGTTTCCAGTGCTCCTATAAGAATAAATAAGAAAGAAAGAAAGAAGATGGTGACAAGACGAGTGGACTGTGGAGACTGGACACTGGAGTGCGTGTGTGCACTCGCTGCACTGCCTTCGAAAGACAAAGTTCAACAAAGGAAAGTCAACTGACTTTTTTTCTACTCCAAGATCACTGCAAAATTGTAATTATTTCCCAAATTCCCAACATTATTCATATATATTAATTATACTATTTTTTTCTGTAATCCGTTGAAGGGCGGTTGCCTCGTGTCAGACTTGCAGTGCTGGTCCTGACTCCTGCTGGACACGGCAAAAACAAACACGCATTTTTCCGCGCATTTTCACTTTTTTAAGCTATTGCTGTGCACAGTTGGCGCAATGTAATGAAAATTGATTATCTTTGCGCACGTGTTCGCGCAATCCCGGCCATCAATTCTACGTTGCGCTGCCGCGCACGAGCAGTTTGTGGAAGAACAGACGTAATACTCACATTACTCAGTACAGTATGCCTTCAATTATCTTTCAATAATATATGATTTTTCTTGATACGGAAATTTGGTGAATGAGAAATCTAGAACTTTGTTTTAGAAGAAATTTTCTCCAAAGTCATATGGCAGCACTGAACACCGTCTGTTTACATTTCGTATGTAATATGTATAACAGCCGCAGTTTATGATTACCGTACGTTCCGTATCCGACAAGGCGGACAAGCGGAAGAGTCAGAAGTAACCCAGACATTCCAATCAGATTTCCAATTCTGGGTTATCAGGGAACCACTGGGAAACACTGCACAAGAGATCACTGATCCTCCAGCATCACACTCAAAGCAGTAGTGCACAAGACATCAATGTAGTTGGAAGAACAATTACCGTCAACCGGGGCAACTCGGGACTGGCGGGGCAACTCGGGACGCACCTCTGACACGTCGTAAAACAGTCATAGTAGCGAAACTAATTGGAATATTGCTAAACTAAATATAGTGGCCTAAACAACAACATTTTTCCTATCTATGTAGTATAAAGGAAGTCGAAAAATACGACATTTACTAGCTTTAAAAAATTCTTGAAAAAAATGGTGAAAAACGCTATTTTGAAAAGTTACTTCTGCTAAGGTCTGTAGCAAAAAAAATATTTGCCGTATTAAAAAATTTTACTTACATAAAAGTTGCACCCAGGTGTCGGCTTGAAAACGTAATTGACAGATTTTGCCTATCTCATTACAAAAAAAAAATGGCGGCCATTTCCGCACAGCGGGGCTACTCGGGACACCCCCTCGGGGCTATTCGGGACAGCCCGGAAAGCACATTTACAGTAGAACCTCAGTTAGCAAAGGCTCCAGTTAAGAAAAAAATTGATTAAAAACAAAGAATATTGATTACATTTACCTGGCTGAGCGAAAAAAAAGTTCACTTATCGTCTCACAAATTACAAGCCGTCCTGTAAGCTTACAGATACAGAAAAAATGCTATGATGCTGCTGATATGAAGCTTGCAGTAGACAAGGTTGTTGTAAATGCTCAATGGCATGTTCATGGATACCATAATATCCCATCAATAATACAGTAATATCCCATCAATAATATGGTACCGTTAACTGGGACTGGGTGATTCAGCTGTGTTCATAATGATGGCCAAAGTAGGGTAATAAATGGTCATAAACAGTGGCCAAAGTCACTTGGGCGTTTATGACCTGGTTTACAACCCTGGCGTTTATGACCCCGACGTTTATGACCCCGCGTTTACGACCCCAGCATGAATCAAAAACACAGCTGAAGTCACCCCAGTTGACGGTAATTAATGTTTATGGTAATATCATATCAATGAAGGAAAAACTAGTAAAAGTCACAGAAAATGTCATTTATTCTACCTCTACATTGTCTACAATGAAAGAGGAGGACTTCAGAGTAATGGATGAGTATGCTCTACATGCTTCAAATATTTTAAAATGAAGTTTTATTCCCAGTGTCCCGAGTAGCCCCGTTCGACGGGGCTACTCGGGACACTCTTTTTTTGCTTCTGGCACCTTACAAATAGCATATGGAATTTTTTTGAAGATGCCATTCGATAGCCCTCGCAGAGCTATAAAATGAGCCTAAACTTGTTTATGAAATGTTTCATCGTAAGAAGTTATTAACAAAATACGCTCAAAACCGTCCCGAGTAGCCCCGGTTGATGGTACTATTGCCAATTACTGCTCATTCGTGCACCTTTAGGCAACTGAGACCAACCAAACTGGTGATTCATAAAACATGCTGAAATCACATAACCATGCAACACTCTAGATTCTAGAAAACAATCTGTGCATTGGCTATTTATAGTAATTGATGATCTGAAATCAGAAGAGATACAAGGGGTTAGGGAGAAATGCATGGGAGAAGGAATGGCAACACAAAATACACAGAGCAAAAAGCCATTCCCTCACAACATAGATAGTAAAAATGTTGAACTTTACGCTACTATTTTTGCAATATTTTAATTAGTTTAGCTGCTACAAAGTTACCATAAAATGGGGTAACTTAGACCGGCGGGGTAACTTAGAGTCTTAGACCACTTTTTGTTTTTTTAACAAAAACCCCCAAAACTCAAAAACTATTTGACATAGACAAATTTTGTCAATGGGCATTAAAGGCCTAATATTGAGGCTACATAACACAATAGAAAGATTTTACCATATATAACATATTTTATGTTTGACAGCCTATTTATGTTTTTTCTTTATGTTTCAGACTCTGCAGAGTCTTATGTATGGTAATTTTTACTCAATTTTCAAGCCAGTCAATATTACCCCATCAGGGCTGCCATTAGGTACTAGTCACATTTCCCTCATTATGGGGTGGCACCCCCCATTTGCAAACTATGACACTTTCCTCAAGTTTGTCATTTGCATATGTAACTAGAAGAGTTCTACTACAATGCACCAAAACCTGGAGTTATTTTACCAAAAAATATAATTGATTTTACCACCCGGTCTAAGATACCCAAGAGCTGGGGTAACAAAGACCGTCACTTTTTTTAAAATTACATGAAGACTATGAGAGGCAGGAGCCAGCAATTTATGGTGAGTGAAGCTAGAGTATAGACCTGTATTTTGCATGTTTCAATTCAAGTTTCATTTGGCTAGTAAAAAAATGACATTTATAAAAAAAAAGTGGTCTAAGTTACCCCATCTTACGGTACTACAAAATGTGGAACAACTGTCCCAATTTACCCTGCCCGTCCCTTATTACCGCATTTGACAGTAGGTAGGAATGCAGGATTCCCTACATTTCCCTTCTCTGTCTCTCTTGTATGGGAGGCTGATATCCCATGCCAGCAACCTCTTTTTTTTGAGTATTTTAGTTTCTGTTGCTTTTCACTTGTCCCTCTCCCTGGACCCTCATGGCCTCATTGTCACATCGTCTCTTTGAGATGCTAACGCTGTTTCCTTTGAGACAGCTTCAGTGGGCTGAACAAATGAGAATCTTGTGGGTGATGAACAATTTTTGATTTGAGAAACTTTTGATAACTGAGACCTTCCATGAAGTTCCATCTCTTTGGTAATTCTCATCATGACTTTCAGTCCAAGATAGCTAATTAGCTGAAGTACGGTACTAGTAAACATGTCACTATAATAACTACAAAAAACTTGTTATTAATAGACTATTGCCCTGCTTGCAGAAGCACCTACCAAAAGTTCTACCTTTCCCAAATTTCACATCTTATCTAAATTCACTTTTCAAATTTGTAATACCCTGGAACCCTAAGAAATTGACTGGAGTTTTGTGGTGTTGCTTTGGATTTTGGAATAGCAGAATAATAATGGATATAAAATTAAACATTTCACCCATTCATTTCATTACTCTAGTCATGTATCTTTTGAATAAGAAAAGATTCACCCTACCTAGGTTATCTCCTGACCTTTGCAGGAACCAATGTTCTGATTTATTTACCTATATTTAATGAAACTAAGAACTTTGTTGGCTTGTGTGATACTGTATCTTTCAAGTCAGTATTTGTGGAGGAACTGATAAAGTACATGGTTTTTCCATGATATGGGCTTCAAACTGCCATTAATATTTAAATTTATAATTGGAAGAAATTTTTGTGCAAGTTTCCTAGTTCTCAGACTCATAATCTGATTACTGGTACTTGAAGGTTTTGATATTTCTTTGATTTCAGAATTTCTTTGGAATTGAAAGTTTCTAATTGCAGTTACCAATATTAGATGAAAATGTTGTCTAGATTTTGGTCATTTGTTCGTGGGCCTCAAGTCTACCGCATTTACTCCTCAGATGGAACGGTATGTAAAATTCCATTTCTTCACAACCTTATGCAAAACTAACTGAAATGATGATCATTTTAACATTATTATTTGAAGGATATAAATATAATCTGAATTGTATAATGTTTTGTATCTTTATTCACAACTGGAGGCAATTTCTTGAAGCATCATAGGTACTGATTCTGAGGTGCTAAGTGATCAAGATGTACCATGACAACCTATTAATTTTGTTACAATTGCCAGCAGGATTGCAACATAATTTTCTCCAAAATCTGTTGAATTTTTTCTAATTGTTTACTGATGAAGCACTTGTTATAAAACTTTGGTGATGTCGCCTGTTAAATAAATAACCTTCTTTTGCCTCCAATAATGTTGCTGGAATAATTTGGAAGAAGAATATTATTGTTACTATTATTATTATCAATAATTTTGTCATAAATTTTATTCATTCATCAACCTAACCTATAGTAATTTTCTAGATGGATATTTGCTAATTGATCATTTGCTCAGTTTTCATCATATCTTTTCTGTCCATTTCCATAACATTGGAGTCAAACAGGAATGATTTGCCACAAACTATTCCACATAGTTAGGGTCCATATTATAACAATATTTTAATATCATCTTCTTTCAAGTAAACTATTTTTGTTGCAGAACCAACCATATACTCCAAGTATACTGGAAAATGGCAGCCAGCAAATCATCAAAGGCATTTCCGTGCTGGTCAGCTTAAGTCAGTACATGTCTCCTCTCATCCTCATCTACCTCTATAAGAAGAACTACACAATTGAAACCTTGTGGATATCTGCAGTCAGGTTGACAGCTAGTGTCTCTCTTCTTGTGTGCATCTCTTTCCTTATTAGAGGCATTGGTCGGATTACAAACACAAGCTACGTTAACTTCATGGACCACCTAAAAAATGCTCAAGATAAGCATTCCAAGTCCCCATACAATTATGCTCTCATCTCACAGAAATATGACTGTGACATCTCAGCTCTACCACATGCGTATGTATCAAATGAAAGCCAGGCTTCAAACCAGACATCTTCTTTTCTCATGGAGTACTTCTCCATCAGTGGTATAGGTGCTCACTTGCTAGGCCGCCCTCTCATCTACCCCGGCAGTATTCAGGTCTTGCAGTACCTGCTTTCTATGCACCTGGAGGAGGGTCGTGCAAACTTGATTCTGAAAGAAAGTGGAAGACGAGCAGTTATCCAAACAGCTGATGGGAATTCTATTGACACAATATTTGTTGATCGCCAAAAAAGGTGAATGAAGCTGAAAAGTTCTTAAATGAAGCTGAAAGGTTGTTCTTATTGGAATATAAATATATTTGTATATATTTTTCAAGTAAATACATCTGCATTTTTTCCAAAATGTGCTTTTTATTTTGTTTTAGAACCAAAAGTTTTTTGTTAATTCATGCTGAAGTTTAAATGATATATAAATCTATTTCTAAAAGCAATTTATCCTCAATGGTCTTCTTCTTGCATCTATTCTAGAATATCCATATTCCTTTAAGAATTATTCTGTATATTTGAATGATTATATACCTATATCATGATATGTGAGCAGAGGAACCCCGCAGGGCAGCACTCTCGTCATCTGCTGTGAGGGCAATGCAGGCTTCTATGAGATCGGCATCATGTCAACGCCTGTGGCAGCTGGGTACAGTGTACTTGGCTGGAACACACCTGGATTTGCTGCCAGCACTGTTAGTCAACAACTTTAATTTTATCATCATAGAATATTTTTAAAAAATTATGTCTGTATATAAATAGTTTTTTAGCCATAGATGTTCAGTACCTAAAGAAAGAGCTGCTATGCTTGGCTTTCAGTGAAGAAGCCAAGCAATGGTCCTGTTTCATTGCACATAAAATTCAATCATTTGTTTTTATCCTTTCTTGAATGCCTTTTATGTATTACTGTTGTGCCTTTCACCTATCAAAAATCTCCTTAAAGCTTATGAAATTGTAGATTGTTCTGGAGCAATTTTCTTGTTTACCAAGTTAGGGTGTAAACTTTTTATCATTTGTTCGCCTGAGAATTGGATGCCTAACTGACATTCATACCTGACAATTTGCTTTCAATGTATCTTTGATGTAGGTAAACCGCTGTCTAAATTCTGTCCTGGCAAAAAATACCTGCATTGAAATCTTTGAAATAAAGTAGAATCCATGTTGAATAGTTTAGGTTAGGTTTTAATTTGTTTTAGGTCAACTTACGTGAGCCGTAGAGACAACATTAATTGGAATATCAAAGTTAAAACTGTGCATTGTGTGGTACTTAGCCAGCAGGTATTGACGTTATGAACTGCACACTCTATAGAATGGACTGTACACTAAGAATGGATTGTCTGTGAACTATTGCAGGGCCTGCCATTCCCCCAGCAAGTGCAGGCAGCGGCAGATGCAGTCATGCAGTTTGCCATCAACAAACTGGGCTTCGCCCCCGAGAACATCATCATCCACGGCTGGAGCATTGGTGGCTACCCTGCCTCTTGGCTAGCGGAGCACTACCCTGATGTTGGTTTCACATACTTGGGCCTTATATATTTAAACTAGATTCGTTTTGCTTGGCCCTACATCATAAAGTTAAATGCTTTCTTTGTTATTTTTATTTATGTTATATGTATCAGGGTAATATTTTGTTGTTTAGTACATTGATTATTCTTCGATCTGGCCTATAGTAAATTGCAATAGATATGAACCTAGATACTATTTGTGTGCTATTGATTTAATTTTAATTGAAGCAATACTAATAAAAATACTATTTTTTTCTCATTTCTTCATAAGGTTAAATGGGGTCTTTTTAGAGTGCTATACAAGACCATGGTTATTGAGGAGATCTCTGTCAATATTAATATTGATGTTTTATCCACTATATATAATTAAAATTTTGTTCATGACCAGATTCGGGGGCTGATTTTGGACGCTACATTTGATCACGTGCTGCCTCTGGCCATCCCCCACATGCCGGCCTTCATGTCTGGCTTGGTCAAGACCGTCATAGAGACTCGCTTCAACCTCTGCAATGGAGAGCAAGCATCTCGATACTTTGGCCCCATCACCCTCGTACGGCGCCGGAGCGACGAGATCATCAGCATAGTGTATGGTTATTGCTCAAATAGTCTCTCTGTTTGTCCATAAATGCTGAGACCATTTGCAAAGTGTATGATTATTGCACAAAGTTTCTCTTCATTTCTTACTAGGTATCATTCATGAGATATAAGCATTGTGTACAGTTGTTGCTTTAAGTGACTGCATTTGTCCATAGCATTTCCGAGATCATGTTAATGTTTCATGTAATGATGGCTGTGCATGTGTAAGAAGTGGCTACTTAGTTTAAGAGGGAGGGCCAACAAAACGGCAGGAGATACGAAAAAGTTGATGAATAACTTTAGTCAAATATGGGGAGGGTGAGAGTGTCCCACAAGGAGGATGCGCTGGGAGTCTCGGGAAAGAAAAGACGGGCGACAAGATGCTGAGTGGACTGCAGGGGGAGCTGCAAGTAGGAAGCATGCGGTTATTTGTGTATGCCTTGCCCTAAACCTGTGAGACGCTTGGGAGCTTAAGAGATCCACTGTAGCTGCACCAGAGCTTAGCTGTAGGGCCTTGGGAGGCGGGCTTCCTTGGAAGCAATGAGAGATAAAGAGGCAGCATGATTCAGTGGTTTTCGCCGGATTTTGTAGTGCGGTAGGCTGTTTCCCTGCGAGAGTTTTGATGTCAAAGACCTGATGCAATCAGCAGGAGGGAGCAACAAGGTTGCTGAAACAAGACGGTAGAGTGGCTTCCAGGGTCTTTCAGCATGGGTAGCGGAAATGCCTATGAATGGTTGAGAGTCCGGTTGTTAATGATCAGAATGGCGTTGGCGAGTCATCGCGGTCACGCTAGGTCCAGGTATATAGAAAGGGCAGGAGTGGTCTGAAAGGGTAAGTATCTTCAGAGGTGGTGTGAAGATACTATCCTGAGGCACATGGTGGCTGTTTGCCATTCCGAGCTTTGAATGGACTAAAAGGTTGTGGTGACAGTGTACCAGATGTGGGCTGATAAGCAAAGAATTGGACTCGTGATGGATCTGTGGGTGGATATATCTCGTTTGGACGAGTGCCAATGAGATTAGGTGTGGTACAAGAGGCGGCTGGTAATGGGGCTGTGGTCATGAGGGGCAGCAGACAACCCTTTTGCAGGAAGCAGCAGCAATCTTACATAGCAACGTGAAAGGGGTATTGCTTGACTGGTTGGGATGGTTTGTGTGCCTTTTTATTATGAATTTATGTACAAAAGTGTTAGTATTTCCCATGCAAGCTAGAATTTTCTAAGTTAATAAAATTTCTTGTTATTTTAGGCCTGGAGACGTGACTACCAACCGGGCGAACGAGCTGCTGGTGATGATCCTACAGTCCCGCTACCCTCAACTCTTCTGCACGCGCTCCCAGGCCGCCCTGCTGCGCTACATCAACGCCTCTACTGACGCTAGGAAGAGTTAGTTCTCTGCCTCCTGATGATGGTTGAGGCAGTTCTTACTAGTGACGAATGTGCTACTGCGGCAGTTCTTACTCCTGACGAATGTGTTGTTGCGGCAGTTCTTACTCCTGACGAATGTGTTGCTGAGGCAGTTCTTGCTCCTGACGAATGTGTTGCTGAGCAGTTCTAACTCCTGACGAATGTGCTGCTGTGCAGTTCTTACTTCTGACGATATGTTGCTGTGGCAGTTCTTACTCCTGACGAATGTGCTGCTGGGCAGTTCTTACTCCTGACGAATGTGCTGCTGGGCAGTTCTTACTCCTGACGAATGTGCTGCTGGGCAGTTCTTACTTTTGACGAATGTGCTGCTGGGCAGTTCTTACTTTTGACGAATGTGTTGCTGCGGCAGTTCTTACTCCTGACGAATGTGTTGCTGCGGCAGTTCTTACTCCTGACGAATGTGCTGCTGGGCAGTTCTTACTCCTGGCGAATGTGCTGCTGGGCAGTTCTTACTCCTGGCGAATGTGCTGCTGGGCAGTTCTTACTCCTGGCGAATGTGCTGCTGGGCAGTTCTTACTTTTGACGAATGTGTTGCTACAAACAGCTGGCTGTGTCTACTGCTCTACTATAAGATCTCTTTGTTATCAATAATTACGCCTCGTGCCAAATGTGCTGCTGCTAGCGCATGTGAAGTGATAAGAAAAGAATTGACGCGACCGTTGATGACAGCTCCATCTGAATTGATTTTTTGTAAAATTTTCGATCTCAGTGAAGTGGCATTATGGCTAACTTACCGATTACATAAATATTAAAATAGGTATGTTTGTTAAGAGATAATTGTTCCTATTCTGATTAGAATAATTCTTATAGCTTATTTATTGACAAATATATTAGACATAAATTATTGTTGTGGTTGAAATGTTAGAAGTGAGTAAATATTATTGCATATCTATTGACACATTTACTGTTGATATTTTGGTTCCCATTGTAGCTTTCATTGCTGAAATGTTAATTAAGAGTAAGATTATCGCTGTCAATACCGCCTGCTTAAGATGGTTCTCATTGTGACGACGTTTACAGAGGAGGTGCTGGCAGCCAACGACGTGAACAGTGACGAGGCGCTGGCGCTGCTCAGGAGCTTCTTCGCCGAGGACGTGCCTAGCTTCCCGTCAGAGCTTGGAGCCACCAACTCGGACGAGGAGAAGACCAAGCTGCTGCTCTTCCTGGTGAGTGCGGCCACATAGTGGATTATTTCCTAGTGGATTTTTTATCTAGATGATCTTCATTTTTTTGCACTATGTGATCTTTATCTAGACCACATAGAGGATCATTTCCTAGTGGATCTTTTACCGTCTAGATGATCTTTATCTTTTTTCCACTCTGTGATCGTTATCTAGACCACATAGTGGATCATTTCCTAGTGGATCTTTTACCGTCTAGATGATCTTCATCTTTTTTCCACTATGTGATCTTCATCTAGACCACATAATGGATCTTTTCTTCTCACCGTTTAAATCAAAATACGGGAAGCTGCATGAACTTGCATCAGCATAGGTTTGGAGTAATGTTGGTAGAATAAATTATTTGAAGGTTCCTATGATCGATCATAAGGTGAGCTAACTATACTATTATCGGGATGATAGTCTGTTTTTTGATTTAGTTTAGTACAAACTATACTTTGTTGTACATTTATCGGTGTTTACTTATCGAATTACAAGGATTGATGCGAGACACAATACTGCTAGTTTCTGATTGGTTATACAAACCTTAGCATGTTTATGAAACTGGCTATTGGTGGGCCATAATACTGTGAGTGGTCGGCTATAATACTGTTGAGTGGTGGGCCATAATACTGTGAGTGGTCGGCTATAATAATGGTGAGTGGTGGGCCATAATACTGTGAGTGTTGGGTCATAATACTGTGAGTGGTGGGCCATAATACTGTGAGTGGTGGGCCATAATACTGTGAGTGGTGGGCCATAATACTGTGAGTGATGGCCATAATACTGGTGAGTGGTGGGTCATAATACTGGTGAGTGGTGGGCCATAATACTGGTGAGTGGTGGGCCAGAATACTGCGAATGGTGGGCCATAATACTGTGAGTGGTGGGTCATAATACTTTTGAGTGGTGGGCCATAATACTGGTGAGTGGTGGGCCATAATGCTGAGTGGTGGGCCATAATACTGCGAGTGGTGGCCATAATACTGGTGATTGGTGGGCCATAATACTGGTGAGTGGTAGGCCATAATAGTGGTGAGTGGTGGGCCATAATACTGGTGAGTGGTGGGCCATAATACTGCGAGTGGTGGGCCATAATATTGCGAGTGTTGGGCCATAATACTGTGAGTGTTGGAACATAATACTGTGAGTGGTGGGCCATAATACTGTGAGTGGTGGGCCATAATACTGCGAGTGGTGGGCCATAATACTGTGAGTGTTGGTGGGCCATAAGGCCATAATACTGATGAGTGGTGGTCCATAATACTGGTGAGTGGTTGGTCATAATATTATGAGTGGTGGGCCATAAGGCCATAATACTGATGAGTGGTGGTCCATAATACTGGTGAGTGGTTGGTCATAATACTGCGAGTGGTGGGCATAATACTGCGAGTGGTAGCGTAGCGCTAGCACCATCCATCACTCATAACATCCGTCCCTGCGCAGGCCACCAAGATGCTGGTGGACGTGGACGGCGGCCACGCTAACCCCCTCGAGGCGCGGGTGTTCAGGCAGCCCTGGAGCGTCGTCGACGACACCTCCTACGAGCAGGTCGAGTAGCGGCCACCTCCTCCCTCCTGCCATGGGCAACCGTTGCTAGTTCCTCCTTCTTTCTTACTCTTCTTCCTCTTCTTCTTTTTTCCTCTTTCTATCTATTCTTCCTTCTCCTTTCTTCCTCTTCTTCCTTGTCCTAACTTCTTCTTCTTCCTTCCACGTTTAATATTTCTCTCCTATTTTTTTCTCGTACCCCTTGCTCTTCTCATTGTTCAAAGTCAACGTCAGCCACTGATTTTCTACCTTACTCTCCATTTTCTCATAACCTCTCCACTTATCCATCTTGCTCATTCTACACCTCGTCTTCGCTCTTTTTCAAAATTTGGGTGTACTTATTCACGTCTTCCAACTGCTTCTTCCGCCTTCTACTTCCTTTCTCCCTCCTTCCCCTTCGTTTCTTACACTTAATCCGTTCTCTCGTATTTTTCTTCCTCCTGCAACTGCTCTTCTATCTCATTCCTCCTTGTATCCTACTTCCTACTTCCCATCCACTCCTCCCAAGAGCTGCTGCGCGCGTCCGTCGCCAAGGCTCCTTTTCTTCGGGGACTAGAATATTTTTAAGTTTTACTTAAATTTATATTGTGTAAAATAGTTGAAAAATAAAATTCTCGACTGACACGACACGAGTCCTCTCTCTTTACCATCTTTTGTGTAGCTCTTGTCCATCTCTTTTGACATCGTAGTGAGAGTTAGAACAAGAATTTCGTTAAAGAACCACATTGTAATTAGTCTAATAATACGTATTCCTTATACGTGCTTGTTTGTTGTGTTCTGTAGAAGCTGTTCAAGAACGATTTATTTCCACTTGGCGTTTCTTCATGCTAGCTGTGATGAAGCTGTCAAATAGTTATCTGGCACTGTACACTTCATGCCATTGTTTTTAGCTAAGTCTCCTGATAAAGTAAGTCACATTACCGTTGTTAAGATTATTCTCTTCTTAAGTCAACATTTTATGTTAATTTTACCCTTATAGATGTACTTTATGTGTATGATTTTTGGAAGAATCCACATCATTGGCGGCAATTAAACTGTATTTCAATTGCGGAACCAATTACCGTATGTTAAGGTGACATGGAACTTATATACGTATATTGTCCACTGGTAAACAGGATGTTTCGTATTACTGGAACTTTTATTTCGTACAAAATATATATGGGTCCTTGTACTGCAAAAGTTGTTTGCATGAAATAGCGCTGACATCGATCTAAACTAAAGCTTCTCCAATCATGAATGATTAAAGAATGTATGAATTATTCAGAGCTTTTCGTATTGCGTGATTTGTTATCGAGTTTTTCTTATACCAGCGATGATTATCTGTGTTTCTGTTAACGATACGTGTATGTTTCATATGGATGATAGAGAATGTTTTCATTATCTTGTCAGAGTTTTAAGTAATCGCACTTACTATTTGAACTGAAATAAGTGTTGACAGTCATTAGAGCTTGTAGCCACCAAATCGTCACTTGTCAGAGGGTTCATTAGTTTTTGTTGTTAAACCTAACTTAAGATTATTTAATTGGATGAAAGTAAAGATTGAACTCTTCTTGGATGCCGCGGCTTCCTGTTTGTTGTTTTGCCCTGTAAATATGTATTGATTAGCTACATAAATATTATGTATATTAGCTCCTTGTTATTCAGCTCCTCGGTGTCCATTAATATTGTAGCGTTTACCCCAACAGCAGATTGACTATAGCAACCCACGCGACCACCTCGAGTTGACTGTCGAAATACTCTAGCGCTGGGCACTGGTGAAATATTTTACATCTCATGACTTCATCGGTTGAATTTTATTCAGATTTGAAACCGGCCCAAAGAATTACAACCCAAATCTCATAATGTATTCGCTGCATCGCCTGCAATGACCAAGCCGCTGAGACCATATCTCTTGGCCCTCACTCTGCTCGTTAAGATGTCGCCATCACTATTAATATGTCCTAAGTAACATTAAGATATCTTAATTATCATTAAGACGTCTTTTCGAAACGCGTGCGCCACAATTGACTGTTGCGAGTTATGGCCGATTATGAGCTGTTAAGTATTTCTCTGCTCCTACGATTCAGAAACAATTCTTGATTGTCTGCTTGGTTGTCCTGATTCTGTCCCAACCTCTTACTTCTGTGTGATTATTTTTCCATGTTGTACAGCTAATCATCATTGTCAATAAATTGTGATCGGATGCATGATAGTATTATTAAATATCTCGCCCCCTGTCCCCCGTCCCCTGTGTTGCGGGGACAGCCGTCCCCTGTGTTGCGCGGGACTGCCGTCCCCTGGTACCGACGGGGATGTCGCTGGCCTCGGCCATCGGCATCAAGAGGAAGCGCTGGCCCCTCTCGGCCCCACGCCAGACCTCTCAATAAATTCCAGGGTATTCAATATTCTCAATAAATTCCAACAATTAATGGAATTCTCAATAAATTAATAATAAATTAATTAATAAATAAAATAAAGCGACACGTGCTTCTGCAAGAGCAAATTTTCGGTTATCAAGTTAATGTAATCATAGATTACTACAGACCTCCCTCTTAATCACGTTTGTGCTGACTATTTCGGAAAGTTGTGACTTGACCCTATTTTAGATCTTCAGTTGAAACTTGATGAGTAATTTCAATTTCATTGCTATTAATAAATACTGGAATATCTCATTATTTTTCTCACTTTAGAAATCGGTAGTCCTGAACTATACGTAATTTGGTAGATGAGATTTATGCCCTAGTCGAGATAATAACCAGTTAAGGTGCTCATGAAGTGGCATGAATCCATGCTGACGCTCCTTAACTCCGTGGTTTTTATGGATCACAGACTATGGATCCATGGTCTGTGTTGCGAGTGTAGCAGTCCCAGGCCACGCTCGGGCGCCAGCTAGAAATGTCTCTTTGGCCGGCTTTTCACCATACCGCCAGGCACGTGACAATCATATGTCAGTCACGGTACAGTCCAATATTCTTTAATGCATTTCTATAATAACATTCTCACCAACTGTACAAGGCACCTGCTATGTCCATGGTGTAAATGCTTCTATGAAAATACATTAAAGAATACTAGATTAGACCTGACGTTTGCAGGGCATGCGGAAGATGGAGATCTTTCGTAAAAAGTATCAAAATGAACTTATAGCATTATAACGATTATTCTTACTGCAGAAAGATATTTTATCGCGTCAACTAGCCCACCATCATATGAATGCAAATATCTGTAATAATATCATCATAGCTGCGTCTCCTTTGAGTGTATTATACAAGCCAGGAATCAAGAGCTGTTGCTCTCATGTGTTCATTCGGGGACCTCAAGTTCTACTCGTCACGGGCCTTCCTCGACGATGTGGACGACGATGATGAGGAAACGCAATCACCACCGTAAGTTATGGAGTTTATAGTTGCGGTTTCGTCGTGAATTTTTGGGAGCGCAGCCGTGCGTAACAAAATTGACTCGTAAACAGGCCCTGGGCCCAACGCCAACCATCAGCATGCAATATCTACACATAGCCTCAGATCAATGAGCTGTGGGTAACTCCGGCTAACAGTAATTCCGCTTTGCACAACACAGCCACTGCTTCACAGCGCCGGAGCGCAACAGGCGGTGCAGGTTAGGTTAGGAGTAACTGTTGAGGTAGGGCCTGTTGCGCCCCGGCCAGTTGTGCTCCGGCCTGTATGCGCTGCGGCCTGTGACTGAACGGCGCTGTTGTGGTGGGCGCTTTGTGTCAAAAGCCGTGAAGATGCCCGGCTGCGTTACGCCCGGGAAGGTATATGAATCGCACTGTGGACTTGGGTTATGCTGACCTCTAGCTATCCACCCGAATTTTTCACAGTTCCATTGAAACTATATAATTCTTGCGGTGTTCCTGTGTCACACGATGGTCATAAACTTCACATCTGCGAGTAGCCAATTCGTTACAATTCCCAAATGTTGTTTAGTTTATTCAAGCTGTGAATAATTATGAATTTTGTATCTGAAATTGTTTTGACCAACGTAAACATACTGTTTGAACTCATAGCTCAATCTATTATACGATTAAAGGCAACTTGGCTGAGTATCACAGTCTATTCACAGATGATGAGTTTTAATTGACCAGCGCATGGAACGTATCTCAGATAACTGAAAGGGTAATTTTTTCCAAATAGTGACGTACTTCCTTAGCACTAGAGAGTGGATACGTTCGAATATAACTCACTAATTCTAATAATAGTTCATTATTATAGATTCTTGTCCCGTGTCAAACTTGTTAAGTTTTACTCACTCAAGATTAGGAATACTCAAATAAGTCAATAATAGCAATTCTATAATGATTTGTAAGTTTCATGCAGACATATTGTTTTATGCCTGTATAAAGCCTTACATTAAACGCGATATGTATGCATTTCTACAGAAGCATTGCACCTGCCATGTTTCGATGCCATTTTCCGTACTAAGTTTCCGTACTAATTTCGCTATGCCATGTTTCCTTACATGTTCCGTCATGCCATGTTTCCGTACATCTTCCGTCATGCCATGTTTCCGTACATATTCCGTCATGCCATGTTTCCGTACATCTTCCTTCATGCCATGTTTCCGTACATGTTCCGTCATGCCATGTTTCCGTACATGTTCCGTCATGCCATGTTCCATTTCATCATGCCATGTGTCCGTACATGTTCCGTCTTGCCATGTTACCGTACATGTTTCGTAATGCCATTTCGTCATGCCATGTGTCCGTACATGTTTCGTCATGCCATGTGTCCGTACCAAGCCGTGACATGAAGGCCTGTATGTGCAGGCTGGTGTACACGTCGCTGATGTCCTGTGAGCAGCCTGCCTCTTCCCTCCTGCTGGCCTACGGCAGCCTCAGCGTCGGTAGGCTGACATTCTTGTCGTCGTGTTTATTATTATTATTATTATTATTATTATTATTATTATTATTATTATTATTATACGATTAATATTACTTTCTACTTTATTTCTTATTATATTATGTTTCAATAAAATTTATCGTCTACTAGTCATTCTTGGACAAAGGCATAACCGGAATAAATTAATTAATCCTGATTACGTTGCCTTTGACGCGTTGTATTCAAATCATTATTATATTCGTTCATTATTCTAACAAAATACAATTGTGTTATTAATTCTTTTGTGTTGAAAGCGTTTGGTTGGGAATCCACTTTCTAATCCACCACATATGATATCCATCGAAATATTCTGTCTGCAAGTTTGTGACTGAAGATTTGCCAAGCTGCGTTCATTATTCATTATTCATAGTACTCTGCTGCATTCACTTTGTTATTCACCTAAATGATTCATATATACATATATTTTAATTAGTAAAGTAAAGCAATGAAGTTCTGACTTGTCGGGCCTATGCAGCAATCGACCCCTGGGTCTAGTTGATGTGTTTCCGAATTTTGTGAAAATTCTCTGAATGAGGAGGTGAAATGAATGTGAACGAATTTAAGGGATGAATGTGAACGAGTATGACGAAAGAATGTGCACGAGTATGAGGAATGAATGTGAACGAGTACGTTATGAGGAACGAATGTGAACGAGAATGAGGAATGAATGTGAACGAGTATGAGAAATGAATGCGAACGAGTATGAGGAATGAATGCGAACGAGTATGAGGAATGAATGCGAACGAGTATGAGGAATGAATGTGAACGAGTATAAGAAATTAAATCTAAATTTCTACAGAGTTCTGCCGCGGTCTGCTGCCGGCGAGCGGCTTCCAGCTGTGCGGCCGCTTCTGTGTCGGACCTCTGGAGGTGAGATGCTCAGCTGTTGTACGTGAGTTATGCATGCTATTCATGCGTGTTATATATAGCGGTTATAATAAATATAGCGGTTATAATAAATATAGCGGTTATAATAAATATAGCGGTTATAATAAATATAGCGGTTATAGTAAATCTGTCTCTTATACACATCTAGATGTGTATAAGAGACAGGTATATGCCATAGTCTAGTACTAAGGCATATATAGGAATACTTTAGATACCAAAGTATTCCTAGTCTAATACTAGGGCATATGTATAGGAATACTTTAGATACCAAAGTATTCCTAGTCTATTACTAGGGCATAGGTATAGGAATACTTCAGATAACAAAGTATATGCCATACTCTAGTACTAAGGCATATATAGGAATACTTTAGATACCAAAATATTCTTAATATGTACCCACTAAGTACAATAAAATATCGAGGTATAATGTGCAGGTAGCGGATGTGTTTCAGAGCCCCGGCCTCCTGCTGGCGCTGTGCCCCCCTCTACGGGACGCCGCCCCCGCCTTCAGTCTCGCGCAGCAGGTTGCACTCTACACTCAAATAAATGAACAAGACTTTGTCAAAATATCGACGCACTATTTGCTCTATAGGCCATCTAAACCCAGTCTGAACCGACAATAGGACGGATCAGTGCTACATGCAGAAAGTGTGTCACTGTTGTGACAATATGAGTTACTTATTTTTTTAATTGATAACATCTATACCGAGATCTTGCTAATTAGTTTTCAGTGTTGCTTAATTAATCATAAATTAATAATGGCCTGCTCTTCCATAATTTATTGTCAGATATACGATGACAAACTCGGTCAGGATAGACGCTAGAAATAAAGAAGTTATCATAGATTTCAAATCGATAGTTTCTAATGTATTTCAAATCGATCTTACTTTTCCCGGTAATGGGAGCTTTAAATTGCTGGTGTTATTAGCAGTAGTACTGAGATATTTGCAGCTGTAAAGTGCTGGTGTTTATAGCTGTAGCTGATGTGTATTTCGGTCAACAATTATTCGCGCAGCTGCTGCAGCGCTGCAGTGGAGACAGCAGCTGCGTTGTGCTCACAACAGAACACATCTGCAAACTGAGAGCTGCCACAGGCGAGTTTAGTGAGAGCAGCGAGGCGTTGCGGTGCCTTACTTCGCCTGCTGCCGACCGCCTGCCTCCATCGTCTGTAGGCCGCCTGCCACGACCTGCTTTTGTGGACTCCGTGCCTGCTGCAGGTACGGGTCATGTGCTGCAGGTACGGGTCATGTGCTGCAGGTACGGGTCATGGTGCTGCAGGTACGGGTCATGTGCTGCAGGTACGGGTCATGTGCTGCAGGTACGGGTCATGTGCTGCAGGTACGGGTCATGTGCTGCAGGTACGGGTCATACAAAATTCAGAGCAATACAGTGAGTTGTGGATTCAATCCCAGCAGCCAGTGAAAAGTTGAGTAAATTTGGTCGAAAACCAGAAGTGGTGGACGGGCGGTTAAGCACTGTGGTATGGGAGCAGTGAGTTGCGTGTTTGAGACCCGCAGAAAGCAGAGAAAATTTCGCGATGTTTAAAATATACGATAGGTCTTTAATAGTGACACTGCTATTGTCATATTGTTATTATTATTATTAATATCATCTTTCAGTCGCTTAACTTTATTAACACCGCACTCTGCTCTCACTATTCTTCATTGTTATCATTTCTCTCATCTCCTCAATGTCAATATAATAATAGGAGTTTTCGTTGACAGTATTAACGGCGTGCACGCTGCAGCAGCTGCCCTGCGTGACCTACGTCGTCTACACAGAGACCGTCTCCCCCTACGACGTCTCCGCCGTGGCTGGAGACCTGCGCCGGGCGCTGCGCTCCCACCAAGCCTGGAGGAAGCTCTCGGCGGCGAGCAGCAACAGAAGCGCAGGCTTGAACACTGAGCAGCAGGCGGGCACCCCGCGTAAGGGCGCCTCCATACAAGTTCCTTTTAATTATATCTGAAACTTGCGAAGCATGTTTATTTTCTTTACTATGAGCTAGGTTTGTACTCGCAAACGGCACGATTAACGCTGTTGCAAGACGTAAACCGCACGTTAACCGTAAACCCTGACGTTAACCGCCAGCCGCGATAACCGTCTGCTGTGACTAATATAGACTACAATAGTTCGCTGTATTCAACTCATTCATAGGTGGCCATAAAATTGTCGAACTGTGAAATAATCCATATCATGTTTCTGGAAATCGATTAACATTTTTCAATTCAACTTTGGCACGAAAATAATGCTAGGAATAATTCATTCATGGTTTAAATGATAAAAAAAATTCCCCTCATTGTCGGCCAAAAATTTTATTCAACAATATACAAATTTGCAACAGAAAAGACCCAACTTTTATAAAACTTTTAAATAATCCTAGTAGTTCGATCTGAAATGAAAATTTTCACATCAGTATAATATTGTTTAAATAATCTTAAAATTGCTAACGAGACTCGGCGGCTATGTGCGGTTATCCGCTTAATCTTATCACAATAATAGACAAACTTGAGTATTTCCTTGTTCAACTTTACGAAGGAATTTCCCGGCATTTACTCGAGTATTTCAGAATAATTAACAAAGCCTTAATAATCGCCAACAATATATATATATACAGAATTATGTACAAGCGTAGCTGCAGTGCGATTAACCGACGAGTCAAGAAATGTACAAGGAGATAAATATTGCAGGGCGGGAAGTGCTCTAGAAGAGTGGGTCAGAAAGACTCACTTGGGAGAGTCCACCGCTGCTTAAAAAGCAATGCACTTAAGTTCATATCTTTGACTCACTTCAAATCTTCATTTGACTTCTGACTCGTGGCTCATGCTGCGAATGGGGGGGGTAAAGTATGCCCCTGAATGAGTCAGGCTGACTCACTTAAATGCATCGCGTTCAAAAGCAGCGTTGTTATCTCCCCAGCGAGTGCTTAACTCTGGCCCGATTGGCCCGATAATTTCTTTGGGTGTATTGACAAAAATAAAGCATTCACAATACAATCTCTAAATAAATCTTATAAATACTCAATTAAAAATTTATTGGCGACAACCATGAAATGTCAAGTTAAAAATGGCGACATAATGTGAGTGATAATGAGATAGAGGCGATAATGGAAGATGTAAAAGCATCGTATCCTAGAGGCGAAAACCTAAAGCCGATGGGGATGCAGAGAAGTTTTTGTGACACAATACTGGGAAAGATGAAATAATCGGAAACTTATCTAGATATATTGAACTACGAAAATTGCAAGATATATCCAAGCATGAATTTGCTCAATTTTATTTGTTAGGCGCGGGACAAACTGGTCAGCAATTCAGAGGTCCTAGCAACCACAAATGTGCTGAAGGACTCCTGAGCTGTGGAAGAATGAATCTCATGCCTACAAAGTATAAAAATGCCAATTAAGTATAATAGAAACAAATCACTGGCGAATAATCCCTATTGTCTTGAACATAAGCATTTTACTTGCATTTTTGTCAGCCTCGGTAATCGTGCTCGTGTTTGAAGGCGAACGGAGTGGCAGTCGGTAATTTAACACGTTGACTACGAAGTGGTACATATGCGTACCACGAAATGTATTTCTCCAGGACGGAGTGGTACATAATTCAGGTTGCCTAAAATTGGCCAAATCCGAGAATGAAAAAGGCCAAAAAAGGCCGATTTTTCAAAATATACTAGTTTATTTGTAGGTTCTGCTATAAAAATTCCATTTATTTTATTTTTGCACTATTTAAAATTTAATTAGGAAGTACCCCTATCATAAATTTTAGCCGGCCAAAAAAGCCACGCAATTGAGAAAAACTAAATCACGGAATTTGTCCGGAAAAAATGACCGTCTGGCAACCCTGTTTAAAAAAAGTACAAAAAATGAAATAATAGTACAAGATGAAGCAATCGTAGTCAACGTGTTAACCCGTAGACTCGTGTAATTTCACGTCCACCTCTTGGGTAAGAAATTAAATATGTCAAACTGATGATCGGATCGATGGCAAGCGCTTGCTATTGGAAGAGAATTTGTAGGTTTCGAGCCTAAATAAGAGCACAGAGACATGATTGCTCACAGCGCTGTTTTGCACCTAGTGTATCACGAGTCTTTCTTGTCGAGAGAACTTCAGGAAATTTGTCCAACTGCTCGAACTTTGTCTTGTAATATTTTTATTATCAATTTTAGTGAGATTATTGATCATGCTATTAGTCCTGTGGTTCTCGAGACGACGCAAAATCCGAATTCGCTACTGTAAAATAATGAATAAAAATCTGTTCACTTGACCACACGATGCATAAATCGAAGCGAACAAAAAAGCAGGCAATGCCTAAAAAATAACAAAAGCTTGCAACGCAGTCGTTAAACTCATTCGACAAAACCATTCGGTTTCAACATCAACTATAAAAATAACTCAAATTAATTACTGAGTTTAATAATAAACATAAAAGTATGACTAAAATGATTCGTTTCGCATCGAGATGTTCGTTGTACACAACATAACTCGCCACACTCGTCACCTAGCGCAGTAGCGCGCTGGTCTCACTTCATTTAATATGTTCGTAAACTGTGGCGTATTGCTTAATACTAACGTTGATCCGCTGGTGTCCTGCCAGATAATTTGAAGACTGATATTTTATCTGAGCTATAATGATACAATATTATCTCGCTTGCTTAAGAAAATGAAAAAATACAGGTTTTACTTATTCCAAAATACGACGTATGTTCGTCTGAGAAAATAATATTTGATTTCTTTGCGGACGGAAAAAAGTCCATTTTTAAAATTACGATAAAATGATATTTGTCTGTTCGTTTGGCGGTAAAAAGTATTCTTCAGACGGCTGATATTTTGACTTGTGTCGATCCGATTACGCACTCGAAAATTACGCAGTTTACGCTCTTCGTTCGTTTACTTACAGCCCTCTCGATTCGATCAGAGCTTCTCGTCGTTGTTGTGTTGCATGGAGAAATAGTCGTCCTCGGGGAAGTTCTCGAGGTCGATGTATCCTGTTTGGTGTTCCAACAATGTGCTCAGCTCGATCTTGAGGTGATGGAAGGTTGGTCGCTTGTTGAGATCTTGTTGCCAGCAGGTTGCCAGTAGGCGGTACAGCTCTGGCTTGCAGTGGTCGGGGCGCTCCAGTCTGTAGCCTTCTGTGACCTGCCTCATCACTTCTCTGGCTGTCAACCCGGGGTATGGAGTCGCTCCTGCACATTATTCAAAATTTTCTTAGCTGTAAAATAATCATTTGAGTTATTTATTCCGCTAATATATATGTCGCTATTTTATATTGAATACAACATTTCCTCGTTCGTGCACGGTATTAACTGAACCAAACAAACGGTGTACGGAATGTCACGACGGTTTTCACGAGAAGTACCACGTATTGTATGCACATCATTCCTACCGACCATAATAACCGAATGGAATATTTTTATGATTTACGTACCCAAGGTGACGATCTCCCAACACAAGATGCCGAAGCTCCACACGTCGCTCTTGTGAGTGAATATGTTCATGTAGAGACTCTCAGGGGCCATCCAGCGGATTGGTAGCGCCCCCTGTTATCAAGTTATCACATTACCAAGCTATCAACTTGTCTATTTGTTTAGTACAACGGAACTCATTTTTAATAAGGCTCAACACAGCGATCAACTTGTGCAGCGATTTCGTATACTAAAACAAGACAATATAGATTTAAACTTGTATAAAATCTCTTTCATCGATGTCAACTTGGAAGAAGCAAGGACATAAAAAGTTAAATTTTAAGATTTATTCACCTTTTTTTCGTATTCCAAATTTAATGACTTGCTTTAATATCAATGTTCAAGCTTTACTCGTTTATAACGCAGCAAAAAAATTAAATATAAATATGGAGATCTCTTTTTCCATGTTTGCGAATATCCAGAAAACATAAAATATATAAGTGCTGACAGGCTTTTGATTTAAAACTTTATTTAATTTAGGATCATCATCAGAGGTAATCCAGCTACGGCCACTCGCCTTGCTCTTCTGCTCGTAGATGTCGGAGCCAATATCCTGGATGCACCGCGCCATGCCGAAGTCAGCGATCTTGCAGACTTTGTTGTGATCCACCAGGATATTGCGAGCCGCCAAGTCCCGGTGGATAACCTGCATGAACAATAGCAGCATATTGAATAAAGTCACCAACACATTAATCTCGACCATGTAAGTACATAGGCGGCTTGAGGTTATTCAACAATTTGAGTTAGTCTACCTTATAATATTTTAGACATTTTGATATATTTTGATGTTAATCAATATAGATTTACGATGGTTGTTTTCGGAATGTGACAAGATCGAATCGAATATCTTCTCAAAGTAACCAAAATGGAATCAAAGTAAGTGTATTTGAGCTAAGAATTTCCGAGCAGAAATTAAAAACATCGTTGTGAATAAAATGTAGCTGTAAAATCTCTTTTAAGTAGATGAAAACACGGCGGAAGAAGGTGTCCTGAACTGAACAGAACTTTAGATGATGCGCCTCATCCTGCGTTCCACATACGCTTACACATGACAGTAAATTATTATCATTATTATTAGAAGACCAGATTCACATGATGATAAGTTAGAAAACACATGCGTCTTTTGTAGGAAACTTTTATGCAATAGGCTTAGCCATTTGTCTATTGCTGTAAAATCTCATTAACTGGCATTCCGGTACGAATAGAAAGCTTCGAAAACTCTTTTTAAATGTGAATAATGGTGGTGAATGAGTGTTAATCTCTGATTTCTGACGGCAACTCTCCTTCTCAGGCGATTAGAATAGACAAAAAAGTAAATTTATTTGTCGACATAAGTTCGATTCGGTAGTTCGAGCACTGACCACTCTAGACTGTAGGTAGTTATAAGTTTGACAAGGTGTAGGTAGTTGTCAAAACTTATGTCTAGAGTGTAGGTAGTTGATAATTAAGGTTGATGAACTAGCTAGAGCACTCACCTCTCTAGACTATAGGTAGTTAATGGTAGTTGATAATTAAGGTTGATGAGATAGCAAGCTAGAGCACTGACCATTCTAGACTGTAAGTAGTTAATGGTAGTTGATAAGTACCTAGGTAGTAGACAATTAAGGTTGATGAGATAGCTAGAGCACTGACCCCTCTAGACTGTAAGTAGTCGCAGCCTGTGGCGACCTGGCAAGCAAAGCGCGTAAGGTCGCGTGACGTGAGAGCCGCCGTGTCTGACGAGAAGTTGAAGTAATTGTGACGCGTGCGGTGGTCGCGTAGGAACGTCAGCAGCTTGCCGAACATCACGTATTCCATGATCACCAAGTGCGGCTCTGTTAAATAAATGCCAAACTTTTACGTCTTGGCGGAGCGGCAGCGGTCACTGTGACCGAGTGCGGCCCTGCCATTTATAATTAAGCTCTAAGTGAGCATGACAAAGTCATGACTGCAAGCTAATATAATGGTCTTTATCATGAGTATTGAGTAAGTCATGAATACTCGATAATAAAAATGCTCTCAGTAGCTCGTTAGAAGGAATGATGCAAATGTTACCGTGGTTTGAAAAATAAAAATCAATTCCTCAAAAATAGTGAATTAGAAGACTTGGTAACGACCAGTTAAACTGATCTACTCTCATGATAAACTTGAATAAGTTGTACCAAATTTATCATTTTGCAACCTGAACTTTTAATTTATTGATAGAGCTGACAATTTTCCATATCATTTGGAACCGATTTAAAGCACCAAAATTAGAGTGAACCAACATTTTATCTTTCTATTTCTTTCTATTGTATTGCAGTTGAAGTTAACGCACTACTGACAAACTCGAAATTATAGTGGGCAATTCGAATTATAATTATATAGTGGGAACCAAAATTAGAGTGAACCAACATTTTGTCTTTCTATTTCTTTCTATTGTATTGAAGTTGAAGTTAACGCACTACAGAAAAACTAGAAATTATAGTGGGCAATTATTTTGCAGTAAAACTGTCTTGAAGCTGAAACAAATTCACGACAAATGGACACGACTAGAATGGACGAACCGTTCTGCACGGGTGCAGACCAGCAGGGACAAATTGGACTACAAAATTTAAGTGAACGAACCGTTCCAGGCGCAACAGCCCAGCAGGGACGAATTGGATTCCAAAAATTTGAATGGATGAACCGTTCTGGGTGCAGCAGACAGGCAAGGGCGAATTGGACCACAAAATTAAAATGGACATAATTTTCTAACTGCAGCAACTCAGCAGGGACAAATTGGACTACAAAATTAAAATGGACGAAATTTTCTGGCTGCACCAACTCAGCAGGGACAAATTGGACCACAAAATTAAAATGGACGAAATTTTCTGGCTGTAGCAACCCAGCAGGGACAAATTGGACCACAAAATTTCAAAATGGACCACAAATTTAAGTGAACGAACCGTTCTTCAAAATTTAAGTGAACGAACCGTTTTGGGTGCAGCAGCCCAACAAAGACAAATTGGATCACAAAATTAAAGTGAACGAACCGTTTTGGGTGCAGCAGCCCAACAAAGACAAATTGGACTACAAAATTTAAGTGAACGAACCGTTCTGGGTGCAGCAGCCGAGCAGGGACACGACGTTGGGATGGGGGCCGAGGAGCTGCATGACGCTCAGCTCCCTGAGGAGATCCTGCTTCTCCTTCGCCCCCGCTCCTTCCTTGACGCGCTTGACTGCCACCAGGACGCCTCCTGCAGCGTAGTCGCAGAACCCACGGGCCTCTGCCTTCCACACCTTCATATGGACACGCCTCATATTAATAATAATTACAGCAATCAATATAACTTGATGAAACCTCGATTTAACTAATGACTTTTCTAAACAAACAACAGTAGCCCGTTGGTTCTGCGTTCTAGTTGAGGCTTTCATCAATATATATCTGACTTAGAAAACTCCCGCATTAACGAACGCTTAAAAAGATATAAAACTTGAAATATTTATACAAAAATACAAAACAACATTCAAAATCCAAAAATTCAAAATTGTATCTTGATTTCTGTGAACACAGCAAGACTCATTCAAAGCAAATCTACGAAATGAAGGTTTGAAACGAAATTACGAGTCGTACAATTTTTGGAGCACTACGTGGCTGAGTTACGGGAAAAATCCGATCGAGTTGTTTTTATAAGCGAGATGATAATCGAATGAACAGATTAAGTTTCAGCAAAAATATCTCTCCAACACACTACAGATGAAGCACGTATTCTACCAGTAGAGCGTGTAAAATAACGTAGACTGAAACACACATGCGTGAAATACAAGTGAACTATGCGCAGGCTGAAAGGAATGAATTGTTCTCACGGAAACAATTTCGTGCTCATAGCGAGCAATCATGCGCGTAAAACTTTCAAGCTGTCACGCGCCAGCCTCACTCAATTAAGCTAAGCAGGCGCTGAACTCGGAGCGAGGGTTCACTTCAACACCGAAATATTTTGCTCGTTAAATATTTAGGTTGTGACAAATATTATTGGTGAAGGATTATTTTTTAATCATATTCATAATAATACGGTGAATACTCCATAATTAAATAAAAACTCCACCAACGGATGAATAATTCATCAATATTTTAATTATATAGCTGAATATGGATAAAGAGCTAGATGGTGGAGAGATATATTGTGACTTTAATTCGGCTTTCATCATGATTGGGATGCATAAACCCATTGCAAAGAGTTGTAACAAAGCTATGGAAGAATAACTATAGTAAAGAACTATGACAATTTCACTAGATCGTGACTTTTACAGCGACAGGTACATTGCAGCCTCAAATATTTGGTAAAGCTCAAGCGATTTATCCAAATTATTCCATAATTTTTCGTAATCATTGAGCAGGAGGTCAAATTTACTCCGAATAAATTCATTAAAAACATAGGCAACATTTCTTTCCACGCACTGAGCTGTGCTTCGTTTATTTTATCGAATTTATAGAATATCGAATATTTATTCTATATGACAAATTTTTCAAGAGCTCCCAAAAATTTGCTTCTTGTGTTTCCCTTCAGGATTTACTGCTCACCACTCCAAAGTTTCCTTCCCCTAAGATGGACACCATCTTGAGCTGGGATCGGTTAAACTCCCACGGGGTTGGGGAAGGCTGTGTGTTGGGGAGTCCGTGGCTGGAGGCGACGTCGCTCCCCATGGGGAGGGTGAGGGTCGATGAGGATAAAGGACTGGTCAGCTTCAGCTCGGGCAGAGGCTAAAGGGGAAGCCAAAATTTGGTTACGGAGACGAAAATCCCAAAAGAACAAAATAATCAGCTTGAGATTTTTTCTGCGTGCTAATTGCGCTTTCTTATCATCTCTGAATACCGAACTGTTCAGTGGATAAACTGATATACGAATTAACTGATCAATAAATAAACTGATAAACAAATGAACTGGTCAATAGATAAACTGATAAACGACTGAACTGATCAATAGGTAAACTGATAAACGAATAAACTAATCGATAGATAAACTGATAAACGAATGAACTGATCAATGGATAAACTAATAAACTATTAAAATGATCAATAGAAAAAATGATGAACGAATAAACTGTTCAATGGATAAACTAATAAACGAATGAACCAATCAATAGATAAACTGATAAACGAATAAACTGATCTAAAGTCTGGTTAGTTCATTGCTTGAGAAGCCCCTAAGTACAAAGCTCAAGCTTCGTCAAATATCCAATTCCACTGAATCACATTTGAACATTAAGGAGTCTAGTTTAAAATGGTAAGTAAATTTGAATTATTTTCAAATAATAATTTGGTGTAGTCTTTGTTTATCTTCCTCATCATTATTGGCAACATTTTTAAGGGTCTTAATGATTGTGAGGCTGACATGTCCTAAATTTGGAAATCGTGAATAAACAAGCAATTTAAAAACTCACAACTAATGTGAAAATTCTACAAAACTAAGACTGCTATACACCGCCATTTATCATCTATGGTTCAATATTTGGTACTAAGTAATCAATTATACTGATAATTTAATGGAGTTGTTAATAAATGATAGTTATAAATATTAACAGAACAAATAATCTTGATAACAGATGACATTATCGGCGCACTTAATATTAGCCCCATAAAAAATTAGAATCACACTCAATGGAACTTGAGCATATCTACCTCCCATTCGTCATCAGCTTGCTAAACTTATGAATAACGTAGCTAAATCAAATTAATTTGTAACTCGGCTTTGTTAAATTACTGTATTTATTTTTACTACAAAAGAATTATAAATACCTAACTCATAATTGAATATGTGAAAGGAATGGCACCTAAAACAAGACTCACGGGCAGCATGGAATGAGAGCGCGGCACGTGGTGTGTGGGCGGCGTGAAGCCGTCCGGCCGCTCTTCGGACTCCGGCAAAGCCTTCTTATGCGCGTCGCCTCTGAGGAACCGCCGAACCACGTACGCCGCCACCAGCGCCAGCGGGAATATACCCACCATGCCTACGAGGTACACGGAGGAACTTCCAGCAGCACCTTCACTGGTGCCGCCAGAGTCTTCGGTGTACACGGAGGTACTTCCTGCGGTATTTTCGGTCTTGACTTCGTCAAAGAGGAGCTCTTCTATCAACATAACTTGTTTGTGGTTCACTTTATCTTCGATTTCTTCGTCTCCTGAAAGCGATTCTTTGCTTTCAGACAACCCATCGATACTCGGGGGAGTTTGATTGCTTATTCTCGGCTTCAGAAGTGCACTGAGCAAGTTCTGCTCTTCACCGCTTTTTATATTCTCTTCGCTGGGCTCGTCTTCAGTTACTACATTGTCAATGCGCGGGATCCTGGTTGTCGGCTGCGAACTCGATTGCTGGATTCGAGAGCTCAAAGATGGGGTAGGAGGGGAAGATGAGGGAACCAGTAGATCGGCGTTCATGTCAATTAGCTCCGTTGGAGGAAGTGCAGTAGACGTTACCTCGACAGAAATGCTTCGCAAGTCCGTCGCTTTGAAATACTCTGTTTCCGAAGAAAATTTCTCTGGCTTTTCCGTCCCAATCCTTGCTTCCTCCGACTGCAATTCAGGTTTTTTCGTCGTGTCTCCTTGATTCTTATTTTGCTTTGTCGTAGAAACTTCATTCAACGAATCATTGGGGACTCGTAGATTGATGTTATAATAAGAAGATAAGGAGTGACGATTATTTTTTTCCACTTCATTACCATCTTTCAATGCGAGTTCATATTCTAATTTATCGGACGGCATGAATGTCGTAGTGGACAAGTCGCCTGCGTCTGCAAGTGACTGATCTTGCTGACTTTCACGCTCAGTTTCTTTGTAATCGTCTGAACTGTCTAAAATAGTGGGCCGAGCATACGTTTCAATTGAGGTTCCATTACGGCTCCTGGTAAGGTTCCTCAACTTAATTATCTTACCTTCGACTTCCGCATGGATGATCAAAATTCCCTGTTCTGCCAATTGCTTGTTGAGTTTGTCGAGGTTAGAAGTGATCTCTCGGAACCTGTCTTTACTGACACTGCTGGAAGCCCTCATGACATCAGAAAAGCCAGCCAAGACAATATCTGCTGGAGTTTTGAAAGACGGAGTCGGAGTGGTGAGTGCAGAAGCCCGGGGAGGCGAAATAATTGATGTATCGGTTCCATTGTGTCGTGGCCACCCGAGCGTGGATGCAATACCGGGTTGCCGAGACGTAGTTCTCAAGTGGAATTTAGAAGGATTATACCTGTAAGGTGTTTCTGTTGAACTCGTTACATTAATATTATCTTGTTTGTTCCGTCCAAGAGACATGCGGAAAAAGTCATGAATTCTGCGTACACCAGACGATTGAACGCTAGCGTTGGTGTCGACTTTCTCAGCTTTCGAAGTTCCGTCGACCGGAGCAGATGAATTTCCAGGAATGTTAGAAGCTGGTGGATATGTTGTGGAACTTATTATTTCGATTGTATTATTGGAAGCGTTTGACTGGAAATAACTGTTGGGTCTTCGAGTTAAAGGAAGAGTCGAGGCTTTGGTAGTCGAAATGGAAGATAAAGAAGGAAATCCCGGTGGATTTTCGGTATCTGGCAATAGGATTTTAGTTCTTAAAGGTCGTCGTCTTCGTACAGGTATGGGCACTGACGAAGATTGACTTCCGTCTAATGTCGCAGTATTTATTTCAAAACTGCTTTTCAAGTTCAACTCGCCGGATGAATTTAAAATAGAGGAGTTTAAACTTGGGATCATTTCAACAGTACTACTTACATTCTGCGACGATTTCGTCTCGTTAATTGGTAGCCTAAAATTAGAAAAAATTTCCGAGCTTCTGCTTTTCTCATTCTTCTCTTCGTTTAAAGGATTTGAACGATTCGAAATTGGGCTTCGAAGGGGGAATGGTAAACGGCGCTTAGAAGCGTTAGAAAGCGTTTTCTCATTGTCTTTATTTTGAGTTTCGCCTCTACCTTCTGTTGATTGTTCATTGGTAGAGACAGCTTGCCAGCCAAGCAACGATTCAGAAATGTTTCTGTTCGTTGAAGTATTCGTATTTTTGTCGACCTCGCCAGCAGGACTGGCTGGCGATGATTCGGACGAAGAGGTTCGCAAAATTTCCTTCATAGGTTTTGGCAAAGGAAGAGGCCGTCGCTGAGGTTTAACATCAGATTGATCGGTCGTCTTCTCGGCGGACGATGAATTGTTTTCTTGATGATTGATCACAGATGTTCTAAAACTGGAGGAACTTGCGATCGATTTTAAATTAAATATTGGAATACGTACGGACGTATTAGAAAAAAATAAGTCTGTGGTCGGTGAATGCGATGTATTCTCCACGCCATTGATACCAGAACTTGGAGAAATATCATCCGATGGAAGGACAGGCTTCGTGGTTGAACCTCTTCTTAATTGTAATATTTGCACGACCTCCGTTGTAGTGGACGGTCTACTCGTTCTTAGGGTCGACTCGGTGCTGCTCGAGAGGTCATCTGCGGCTGTCGTTTTGACGAAGTGCACAATACGACTGTTCTGATTCTTTTTGGATCTGATCAATTCAGGCAAGTCCAATGTCTGGGACTCGCTGACTTCAGAGTCCCCCTGCAGGCCAATTCTCGCATCGGCTTTAGGCAGGATACGACGGCCCCAACCTCGCAAGTAACTAGGAGGTGGGGTGGGGTGAGAACCTCTGCGAGGTCCTCCTTGTCTTTTGCTAGTTATGGACGATAGTCGCGTTCTCCGATTGAACGCTCCTATCGGATCACTGGGCTGAGGTTTTGCATTGTCACCCCCACTCCTGGGTATCCTGGCAAGTCTGATGGGCACAGCGCCCTTAGGAATGTACAGGGGCACGACCAATGTTTCGACTCCCTTGTATTCGGGATCCTGCTTTGCTGCCCTCACGATGGCAGATTTGATGCCGAAATCCCCGCTGACCTTGGCAATTAGGGAGTCGTAGTCCGGTGGGTGGGCCGGCTTCGGGGACTGGAATTTCTCCCCCAATTTGTTTGATGTGACGAAGTGGGGAGTCGTCACACCTGGGGACCGGGCAGCTCTCCCACCAGCCGACCAGCAACCTATAAAATAAAAATGAACCAAGTTAAAAAAAACATATCTCACAACGATTACGTAACATAAATGTAAAGCAAGAAAGAATTATCTTCGGAATATATCATTAAATTCATTGATGTAAATTAGCTAATTCAAGTGCATTAATTGAATTAATATTATTTATTTATTATTAATTATTATTTTCCATTACTAATAATGGAAACTCGAATGAAACGGAAAAAATAATTTAATCTAATTTTGTTGGAGCGAACGTCCGAGACTTTAGTGTCGCCTGGGATATAAAAGTTCTTCGATGATCGAAAAGTCTTCGGTGGAGGTGAGTTCTATGATGGTCGTAAGTACAACAATTAATGGTCGCAAGTTAAACGATGATTGCGAGTTCTATTATAGTCGCAGTTCTGCGATGGTAACAAGTTATACAACAGATACCAAATGATTGTAAGCTCTATGGCAGTCGTAAGTATCACGACGGTCAACGAAAGATCGAACAAGAATTAAGATGACGCATAATATTGATGTCTACATATTAGGTTATTGAAATGCAATTCACTTATATATGCTAATTAGCATAGATAAAATTTTCAGTGAAGTTGAAAACTTCCGAGATGCAACACATTTATATCGTATCATACTTTATTGAATAAAATGAACGACAGCACTGCAAGATTCCCAACCGAATTAATAAAATTTTAGAAAATCCTATCATCTTCATATGAGATGCAAGCGATGAATTCCGCTTCATTATTTAAAATTCCGCAGTGATACATTGTAACACAAGTGAACTGGGAGCGCTGCGCTGGTCAAGGAGTCGGGACGTGACCACAGCTCATAACGTCAAGTTTATAGCGACCGAGTTAATGCATCCCGGCTACGGAGTTGATAATGAACATTTCTTATCGTAAAACAAATTGAGCATCACCCATAGGAAGTAACTCCCGCATGGAAGAATATTTCTTGTAATGATCTACATTATACGATAATTACATAGCGGCAAAGTAAGAGATACTTTATAAGCAAGTTTGAGTGTTAATTCATGGAAACGAAATGCGAGCTCTTCGAGGAAGCCTTGAGAGCGAGTCAGCCTCGGTATAATACTCGCATCAGTGTATGCAAATTTATTGACCAACTATGCGAAAACTGCGAAGAAGCGAAAATTAACTCCTGGTTGTCGCTCATTTAATCTCACTGACTATCACCATAACTCGGACCTTGCAGAAAATATTGTGCAAATCAAAGACAATCAAACGTCGGCCATTGGAAGGCCGTCGGTGACACGTCTACTGTTCACCTCAGAAGTGCGTCGCTGAAGCTGATATTCAAATCAGAATTCAAGTTCATAAGGACGAGCAGTTATAAAGTACCGCTCTACGAGCAGTTCTACAGTACTGCTCTACGAGCAATTGTACAGTACTGCTCTACGAGCAGTTGTACAGTACTGCTCTACGAGAAGTTGTACAGTACTGCTCTACGAGAAGTTGTACAGTAATGCTCTACGAGAAGTTGTACAGTACTGCTCTACGAGCAGTTGTACAGTACTGCTCTACGAGCAGTTGTACAGTACTGCTCTACGAGCAGTTGTACAGTATTGCTCTACGAGCAGTTGTACAGTAATGCTCTACGAGAAGTTGTACAGTGTGCAGGAGATATGCTCATTTCAAGCTGGAACAATTCATATTCTGTTGTACGGATTAAGAATAAGCTATGGTGACAACGACCAATTGATTTTGTTCTCCCCACTTGTTATGATGCTGATTCATTTCTGAAATGCGATCATTTTATTGCTAAAGATTTCACATGTCTAGTAACGCACATACGGTATCGATATTGCATGGAGTCCAAATCTATTCTGCCAGAATCAGAAAGTGATCAAACCATTAAGTCATAAGACGATAGGCTCAAAAATTGTGCGCTTGCAATTCATATTATTGAATAAAAATAAAGCAGCGGCTTGCTCATTTTAAATACGAGCTCATGTCAGCTGAGCATGACTACAGGTCGTGCATGTCCCGGTAAGTGTATATATATACCACCAACCTCGATTTATTTAAATTATGAGTGACAATGGCACGGCGTTGAAACCCAGGTCTTGCACACCTGGATGACAGTCGACCTCCAGGCTTGACGCGCTCCATGATTGCTTTCTTGACGGAGCCAAATTAAGCGTGGAGTGGGGCGCGCGGGGTACATGATCGAGTCCCATGACTTCCGGTATGGCCTCACAATACAATATTTATACAATATTACAATGTTAATTGCTTCATTAAAAACTTTAAAAATACAAATTAAGAGACTTTCTTCCCACAATGCCATTTCAAACAAGTAATTTACCATTTACATGTGATGGTTTTATTGTTATAATTTATGTGAACAGGATTGCTACTTACTTCGTCAAAGTCAATAATATTGTTCTCTCAACAAACCCGATCACCACAGGATGGTTGGTAGTACTTAAATCCCACTTATGGCCCCTAGCTTATTCTCATGTCAATGTCAACTCTACATTGCAAGGCAATCACTGTACAGCAAACACTGTGCATGCACCGCGATCGCAGATGGAATGGCGTTGCACTTCCTGTACTGACACGGCAATCATTCAACGAGACATCAGAGAGAATAGCGTGGCGTCTCATCTAATCGAAACACGGACACTCAAGCAGTTACTTTCTCCGATGAAATGGGAATCGAGGTGAACACGTAGCGTGACATCAAACACGGGCAGACACGCAGTTACTTTTTCTATTAAATTAAACGTTGAAGAAAACACGGTAACGTGACAGTAAATACGGGCAGACACGAAGTTACTTTCGCTATTAAATTAAATGTCGAAAAAACACGGTCACGTGACATCAAACACGGGCACCAACATAAGCAGAAAAAGCCACGAATAAGCCAAATTCGAGCAGGCGAGTATTCTAACGCAACAAGATCTCCATTGCGTCGTTTGAATGCAATTCATCAGTTCATGCATATGATCGCACATTTAAAAACATTCCCTTTTCACTTTCAGCATGTGAATGTTTACAATTCTCGCTAGATTTCTAATTTTTTTCAATAGGCAGCGTCTCTGCAATCTCGGAGAACAAAAACGTAATTTTATTTAATAGAGTAAAAAATCAAAAAAAATTTTGCAACGCTTACTTCAAAAGCGTGTTTCGAAAGCTGACTTGAAAAATACACTACTTAGAAATAAAAAATGCTGTATAAATAAACGGCCTTCCAGATCCTCGCTGAGGCCAGCGTTTCATCACAAACTGTACGAGTAATGAGACGAAATTACGCGGACATGTCCGGGGAGAAAATCGAACACCTTTCCCTGTGTATTCGAAGCTTCCATCAAATACATACAATGAACCATTATATTGACTGCATGGTGGCGGAAATTAATTGACCAATAGGTAGTTAACCTTCTAGCCGGGATTGATGATGGAGCTGATAGAGTGGCTGAGGCGATTAGCGTAGATGGATACAGCAGGGTTCACAACGCGCGCTCCTAACGAGCCTTTGTGAGGTCTGTGAGCACACAGCCTTTCCTAAATATTATCGGTGGCCTATAGGTGGCCGACGAATAACTTACGGTAAAACGACGCCGATTCTGCGTAATTGCGTCTATCGTAAGGATTTCCAGGGCTTTACACTCGCTCTACGGAGAGTTTAAGCGCATCTGAATGCTTTTCACTCAGTGGCGACTAAATGCTTCATTGCGCTTTTGAATGCTTGTCGATTACGCTATTTATACACAATTTTGAATACAACCTGAATATTGCTCGATAATCTTGTGTGTAAACTCAAGTTTGAAGCGACTTCAACAGGGACCGTCGATTATACTTAACGTCGTTCTATTCTCCGAGGTATCAATAAAAGTTAAATAAATCAGTTAGATACGGTACGTACAATTTACACTGAAACTACATTGTCGAAACCATTCCCGAGACTGTCGAGAGTGAGCTAAACATTAATTATACAGCAACAGATATTACTGCCGCTACAATATATTATATGAAGTATGCAGCACCGTATTCATGATCACAGAACTTATATGGGTGCTGCAACAATTTTTTGAAGTATGCAGCACCGTATACACGATCACAGAACTTGCGGCTGCAGCAACAATAATTAGTATGAAGAATGCAGCAGCAAAGACGTGCCCGTAACATCGTCGTGTCAAGGGAGGCACCCACGGCGCAAAAAACAACTGACGAGTTCATGGACTAGCGCAGTTATGCCGACGGTGACCTCAGGAGCGAGGACTTATACTTGGTGACCTCTCCAGCGAGGAGTTACTTGTTAACTCTGATGTTATAAGGTACGGGGCATACCTGACGACAGTTTTATTCCATCGCATAACTGTGATAGGGGAAACGGTCATCAGTCAGCACACACGACGTCAGTGTTAAACCGTCAACGATTTTCTATTCAGAAATCAAATCAAGGAAACTTTGGATCTCTATTCAGAGATCAAACATCATTTTTATTAATCAAAGTCCCATGCTCGACTCGAGGTAACATCATTTATGTTATATCAAAATAGTAATGAATGTAATTGCTCATTCAATTACATTTAGGGTTTCGGCCTTACTTCTTTGTTAACTCCGGTAAAGCGATGATCGAAATCTTCCTTGTTGTCACTCGAGATCTAATATAACTTCAATGAGTTATTCAATAATTCATCGCATTTGATACGTCGTAACGGATTATGTATTCGTAAACATAATCATAGAGATTGGTGGAATATTTAAAATGCAGAATGATAATTACGACTATAAATTAAGCTTGATGGCTACCTTGACAGTTTCAGCAGAATTTTTTTTCAGACATACACTAAATCTAGAAAAACTACAAACCAAATATATACCTAATGAATTCGTACGTATAAGCTTTATCGTTTAAGCACTGTAATGTGCCAACGTGGTCGTCCCTGCCAGGTTATCGCGTATGAAGCTCGTATACGATAAGAATGTTTGAAGTGAGATATCAAGAGGGGAGATAACTCATTACTCATTAGCGTGCAAAGCAAATTATAATTAATATAATAGATTATTCAGAATTCTGACAAGGATTTGATTTTTAAATCCCATTCCCAATACATGACTTGAGCAAATCTCATCCGTTGGTACGGCGCAGAACGTCTCATATATAGCTCATCAGTAATCTGCCCCCTTGGAAAAACAGGGTTCTTTTTACTCCTTAAAGCTTTCACGAAAGCCCTGCACCGGCGTCTACTTCTCAGCAATGAAACTTGTTACGATTATTGCACATATATTTAACTTGATAAAATAAACAGCAATGCAAGCAGTCGAGTGCAGTGTGAGAATACTTTCTTGTTGTGGGTATTAAACTTTCACCGAGATTAGAGGAATTAACTTTTAGCGGAACGATTTTTTTTTCACCACGTTGCAAATCTTCGAGTTCAGTAACAATTTTAGGACAAAAAGAATGCTGAAAGTTAGTTTTCCATTGAAGTTTTTCATTAAATAAATAAAAATATCAAGGAACAGAGCCCTGTTTTCCGGCACATGGAAGCTTAAGGGACCACAACGGTCGTATTAAAAACACTTACAAGGATTTGGACTCTAAAGCCTGTAGAGTGAAGGATGTACTAAAAACTCGTGTCATTTTCAGCCCTCGTTTTTTTCTGATTGCTTTCCCCAGACTCAAGTGGTTATATAAAAGTGGCTTCGTGGCGCAGGTTTAACAATACTCGGCCATATGGCTGAAGATGAGTGCGCGATGAGTCGTCTGTATATAACTCGTCTTCCATGTAAAGATTCGAATTAGGCAAATTCTGTCGACAGTTCTTTTATGATCGTAAAATGAACATAGGGATATCCCCGCTGCAACGAGCAAACAACAACAATGAAATAGCAAAATTTGAGCCCCTGTCAAAAAAGAGAAAGTTCCATTTGAGGGACTGCTGTACACGGGTCTCTCACTCGCTGTCATATTCGTTACTTTTTGCTAAGCCGACACGACGTTCGTAAGTCTAACTGAGACTAAAAAGAGGCTAACCTCAGTCATGTACAACACAGGATTTACGACAGACTCCATGTCCCCTTCCACGTATGCTGTCAGCACAAAATTTTCGTGAAGATTAATTCATTGTGAGTTACTTTAAACACGAATATACGAATCGTAAATAAAAATCATTGATATTTTCAAATGAATAAATACTAGAAAATAATATGTTGAGAATTGTCAGTTGAATATGAACTAATTTACACGACCGAATAGTTCGAAATAAGATAGCATACGGAGAATATCGCCCGTCTCGGAGCTCTTAAACGCGCGCCGCCCAACTTGGTGTACTCCGCTAACTTTCGTACACAAAATTAGTGTGAAAAATAGGAACGGTACTTCAAGGAATAATACCCATCATAAACGCTTACATTGATTATGAGATTGATTTAAACAAAATAAATAGCGTGCACCTCGTATGAGACACAAATCCAATTAAACAAATTTATTTTTTATGTTGCGTAATTTGATATAAACTGAATTAGAGTGAAACAACTCTCTAAGTTCAAATAAACTGACTTTCACAAGCAGAAAAATTCTCACATTCCCGGCCTCATGCAGTTCTTTACATTCCGTCTTCCATGTAGTCTGTCTATATCACACCAGCATTATGCGAGGCTCTTAGCAGCAAGAACTACAAACGTAAACCACAAGCCAAGCCTTTAATGTATTTAAGAAGTATAGATCTGTCTTTACTTCAGAGAGCTCCTCGCTTCTGAGTCAACAAAGTCCTAATCATAATATCAATGTTTTCATTTTTTCTGCAGTGACAGCATAATTTACTCCATTACTTTATTTATAAAACGAATAATTAAGGTGTCATTATCACGCTTGCACTTTACTCTCACAATTTTTTTTTTGCGAAATTCATTTGTATGTGACATTTATAAAGTGGAGAAAGACACCTGAGAATGAACGGAATTTCCTAAATTTATCATCATTGTATAAGACTCTTTATATGCTCAATATAGTCTAACAGCTTGGACCTTCAACATATAATAACAACACGTTATGGCAACACAGCAGAATTGTAGCAGTGAGTTGCGAGTTCGAGACCGCAAAATGCTGTGAATGTTCTGCGATGTTAAGAATCGGCGACAGGCCTACGGCCTAATAAACG